TCTCTATGTCCATCCACTAATTCAACGTTTACTGTGAGCTAAAAATCCTGAGCTGAGCAGTGGTGGTGCACACCTTTAATCCCAGCCCTTGGGAGGCGGTGGCAGGCAGATCTTTGAGGTGTAAGCCAGCCTGGTCTACAAAGTAAGTTCCAGAACATCCAGGGCTATAGAGAGAGAAACTCTGTCTTGAAAAAAAAAATTCTATTAAAACATGTGGAAATGTAGCTTTCCTTCTCAGTTAGAAGACAGGAAAACACACAGTGAGTAAAGCAAGCCAAGGACGGAATAATTGGTAAGAGGTATGGAGAAAAGCGAATCAGAGGAAAAGAACCGTAAATGCCTGAGGAGACAGGAGCTCATTTTTAATTTGGCCATAGGGTTAGTGTTAGGGTTAGGGTTGAGCAAAAGAACATACTTGAACAAAGACTTGAAAGCAGTGTAGACAGGGCCACAAGGCAGACCTAGGGAAGGAAGAATGTCTCAAGTCGAAGACCGTAAAGAAGACAGGGTTCTGGGGCACAGGAAGGAAGCACATTCAGCTAGAATGGTGTCATTAAGACAGCAGACCGAAGTCAGAGAAGGCATGAGGTCAAATCCTGGGGATGTGAGGTGGGAAGTTCAGAGAACAGAAACATGACACGATGCTCTTTTTAATGCATTTATGCAGGATGGAGAGAGATGGCGGTGCATGGCTCCCAGGTCTTTGTGTTGCAATGTCACATACTGGGCTCTGCAACGACTTCAGAATGAGTAACATTTGCTGGTACAGTAGATGGAGGAGGAAGGCCAAAGAGCTGGCCATGGCTTTGGGTTGTTTTGTCTTTTCTCTAACTTTAGCCACTGGAAGATGAGATGGGAATTAACAGAGATGGGGCAGAAAGTCCAGAGGGGCATTTCGTAAGTAGAAATTAATTTAGGGAGTTATTTTTTTAACAACTAGATGGATGTTTCTAATAAGCAATGAGTCTGAAGTTCAGAAGGGACGTACAAACAGTATTTGGGAGGAGATAGAGGATTGTGCTTTGAGACATTTCAGTGTTGAGACATCCTAGAAGGCTGGGGCTCAGCTCGGTGGTAGAGCACTTCCCTAGATTTGCTCTTGAAAATAAATAGCCGGGCGGTGGTGTCACACGCCTTTAATCCCAGCACTCGGGAGCCAGAGGCAGGCGGATCTCTGAGTTCGAGGCCAGCCTGGGCTACCAAGTGAGTTCTAGGAAAGGCGCAAAGCTACACAGAGAACCCCTGTCTCGAAAAACCAAAATAAATAAATAAATAAGTGGGTTCTGGAGAAAAGGAGGGACAACAAGGGGGTCTGAAAGTGAAGGCTGGGGGTAGGTGACAAGAGTGGTATTCTGGAAAAAGGTTTCCAGGGCCTGTGAGTGGTTCCGTGTCTAAGCTAGGAATGGAGATCTCAGCATTGATTTCTTACAGCACCTCGGAGGTCAGTCTATTGTAATTGTTGTAGATGAGGGGGAAGGGAGCCATGATTGGAGCCTCATGAAGGGAGGATAGGAACTGGAAAGATCTAGTATATGGTCAATCGGGAGGGATTGGACTGTGAAAGAGCCAAGGAAGCAGTCCAGAGTCGATTTGTTTTCATGGAGAGGAGTTGAGAATGGCCCAGGAAAGGGAGTATTTTGATGGAGAAGAGCAGAATTGTGAAGACGACTTTTCAAGGGTGTGGGAAAGAGTGGGATCTAATGGCAGGGTTGGCCTCGGGCTCAAGGGCAGCTTGCCCTTTCAAGGGTCGAGGTTAAATTCTGGACACGTTGATAAGTATGCGTGGGGAGCAGGCAGGAGTGAGGTCTTCCGATTGCCTCATTTTTCTTAGAGCAACAGGAAGTGAAGTTATCGGCTCTGTGGCTGGAGGAGAGATTATAAAGCAATTGTCGAGAAGACTAGATGAGCAAACCAACATGGCCACCTCAGAGTCTCAGAGGAGGCATCTTCTGGTTTTCTTTCGCATACTCCATTTTTCCTGCTAATAGCTAGTGTCCATCACAATGCCAGCGTGCGGTAGGTGTTCAATAAGTGTTTAATTTCAGCATTGGGATCATATTACCCATAACTTCTTTGTAGTTAACCATGCATCACGCTTTATTCTTAGCACCTTATCAGTTTATTACATTTGCAGGTGGTGGCTACTTGTGTCACATTTAGATTCAGGAAGCGATGCAGTCAAGTCACGAGGGAATGAGAAGCAGCTATTGCAATCCTTAGTGATAAGTGAAAACACAGATTTGCTTGTGGTTGGTCAGCTCCCCAACAGGATCTTGCCCGCACCTCCAAGGCCCATCCAGGAGAGGGCAGTCCTGCATGCATAAGCATTCCTGCCCCACCCTCAGGCTCTGGAACACGGTGAAGGTTCCCAGGCTTTCAAGCCACAGTGCCTGATCCTTTGAGAGATTTATTTGCTTAAAGCAGTGGTTCTCTTGCAGTAATTTCCCCCCGAGTGGCATTTGGCATCATCTGGAGGTATTTTGAATCATCATAAATGGGGAGTAGAGGCAAAGTGTACTCCTAAACACCCACAAATGGATCAAACAATCGCTACGCTCTACAGGGAGATAATCTGCTCCAAAGTGCCAGCCGGTGCACTGAGAAGCTGAATAATCCTCTCTCAATGAACATCTGTAAACAACTCAGTAAAACTGAGACAGAGGAAGAAATGAAAGGCACTCAGGGAGATGCAGAGATGGCTCCCTGGGTAAAAGCACTTGGTGTTTGAGCCTGACAACCTGTGTTTGGATCCCCAAAACCTCCATAAAAGCTGGGCCTGGTAGTGCAAGCCTCCACAATCCCAGCACGCTATAGGGAAAGGGGAGACGGGTGGAGCTCCATGATTTTGTCGGCCAGCTAACATGGCTTATGCAGCAGTAAAGAGACCATCTCAAACAAGACGGGAAGGCAAAGACTAAAGCCTGAAGGCTGTCCTCTGACGGCCACATGCATGGCATGGCATGCATGCCCACACCCTCACACCTGAGCACGCCCAATTGCCGGCACACATGGGGTGAGTGGAGGAGATTCAGCACTTCCACCCACAGAAATCTGTCAGAAAGAGCCTATGGGCTTTGCTTCTTTGGAAGATATCAAGTCTTTGAGGGCCAAGTGGATCGATTTATCACTTCAGATGTTCCACGTGCTGGCTGTTGTCACCAGTGTGACAAGCTAGGAAATGGTAGCAGTGACCATGCAGGGTAGCCAAGAGGGCAGATTGTCTTCTTAGCATCCATATCTGTGTGAGAAAAGTGATGCCACAAACCCCCTTTATGTAAATATTCTCCACTTCCAAAACGTAATTTGCTGCTGGGACTCACGGTCTTGCTGCTTGTTCTCAGGCCCTGTGTGCTTCAGATGGTTCAGTGTGCTGTCCTCAAAGCCTGCCGGCCTGATTCATCTAAAGGACTTTGTCATCATGAGGGGCCACTTCCTTGCATTTTGGAACACTTTTCTGAAACACACCAGCTTTGGAAAAAACATAGGCATATTTCTGAATATGTGCCTCACCGGAAACACATCTCTTTCCAAGCCATAACGAGCTCAGCATTCAGTAGCCCAGTGTGGCTGTATCTCTGTAAAGCAAGCTACCCCAGGGCCTCTCGCAGTAGGAATCTTGTTCGGCAGAATTTAGAGAGGAAGGAGTGAAGATCAATCTCCTTCTGTGGTTTTGCTTCACACGTGACTGTCTTCATCCTTCCCTTTGTGCATGAACTCTGTTGTGAATGTCTAAAGGTGAAGGAATGGATGAACTGATCATCTGTGTGTAGCTGTGACAAGAAGCACAAAGACATGTTCAAATCACAGGCAGGCTGCAGGTTTCACCAAAGACCAAAGTGCCTGCTTTCTTTATTTTAGTAGTTTATTTAAAGAGCTTATGAGAGAACATATAGAAATCAAGCATGGCCACGGAGCTGGGAGCTGGTTTTCCAGTATCTACAGAGCTAATCCAAAGGATTCTTTAGGTTGGAGGAGAAAGGAGCAAGGAAACATTATTAATACACCCTTACTGAACTTAATTTAATACAGTATTATACTCCTGAAATACAAGATAACAATAATACGATATCAATAAAGATAATGATAATTGTTATCACCCATGGAGGGATACTTCTGTGGGTCAGGCTTTATCTTAGAAGTGATCTAGATTATATCACTTCATGCTCAAACTACCTAGAGGAAGCTAGTACCCAGGCAAGACTAAGACTCCAAGAAACAACATAATGTGCCCCAGCCTTCCAAACACTAAGCTCTAAATCAAGGACCTCAGGCATCTTACATGTGCTAAGAGAGTTTGCTCTTGCAATAAACTCTAAATGGAATCCCTTTGAGTAAAGGAAGACTCTCCATAGTCTCTCTCATGGAGTCTAAGTTCTTCGGTGAAGAGTTCTATAATACAGCCACAATATTTTCGTGTGTTTTTGTCAATGTAACCTATTTGGCCCACGTCACACGAGGTGATGTAACAGAAAGTATACAGGGCAAGATGTCCTTCTATCAATCATGAGACACCCCTAAAGTTAGACTCTTTGGAACCCATTTTCACACCTTCAAAGTAGAATGAATTTTAGAGTGTATGTCAAGTGTCTATCAAACTCCCTACAGTCACTGTCAATACTGCTGTTCGTTCTATTTAAATTCTCAAATTTTAGTGTTTGCTGTATGAACTTTTTTTAAAGATTTATTTATTTATTATGTATATAATGTTCTGTTGGCATGTTTTGCCTGCAGGCTAGAAGAGGGCATCAGATCTCATTACAGATGGTTGTGAGCCACCATGTGGTTGCTGGGAATTGAACTCAGGACCTTTGGAAGAACAGCCAGTGCTCTTAACTGCTGAGCCATCTCTCCAGCCCCCCGCTGTATGAATTTAACTGTTACTTTGACATCTGCATTTTGCATAGTGCCAAAGACCAAGCATGAAGAAACATGGCCCGTTGACGCATCTTCCAAGATCAGGGAAATATTGGTGTAAAGCATGTTTGTATTTTAAATTGTAGGCACTGCCCAGGTGATGGAAGGCGGCCAAGTGGAATACAAGCCTCTTTCGGGCATTCGGTACATGTGGTGGTACCATCTAATTGGCCTCGTGTGGACTAGCGAATTCATCCTTGCATGCCAGCGGCTAACAATAGCGGGAGCAACCGTCACTTGCTATTTCAACAGGTGAGGCCAGTCCTTGACCCTGCGCTCTGTCTGCATGCTTCGGGTTGTATATGCATCTCTGAAGATATTTGGGAGTTTCCACTCAGCTCTTTAAAAGAGAGTAACAAGAATTAGAAAAACAAACCAACAAAAAGATTAAGCTAAAATTTGGCCTAAATGCTCACGGATGAGTCAGAAGAAGTAGTCGGCCTTAAATCTCACACATCCCCAGGCTCTTTTGCTTAAACTAGAAACTATAGAAAGAAATCAAACAGCAAAGTAATCTTATCGCCTAGAATTAACAAATACCTAAAAGAAAGGGTTATATTCTCCGTTCTTACTAACTTCAGACTTTAAACATTATTGATCTATTTTAAATACACTCCAGTAGCTCTATCAACTATTTTACCTCTGTGAAATCAGAAGAATATTTACTGCAAACCATAATTCATTTCCTTAGCATTAAGTACTAGTGAATTGATTACTCACTTCTGTATCTATAGCCCATTACCTCATGAAAATAATTGAGGACTACTCCTCCCCCTCCTCTAATCCCACCCCACCCCCACCTCACATATACCTGAGCTCTTTGTATCTCTCGTGTTTAACTCTCCAGGGATTGTAGCCAGAAGAGCAGGCTCGGGACAATGACAGGGTTGGACTTGGAACAGGAAGTTTACTCCTGGTAGAGCTGACCCTCCTCTAGCCTCTCAGACCAAATGAGTAGATAAACATGAGCTTTCTGGGGTGAGAAAGCCAAGCAGCCATGATTCATGCCACTGAACAGTTGCCTCCGGACGATAAAGAGCACTGTGGGTTTTTAATACGGCGGTACCCTTTGGGAACCACATCATTAGAGACTCTGGAGGATCCCAAAGGGGCTGCTGCCCCTCGGCTGTCATTGAGAGCCTCCCAGCAGCTGGAGGTGGGAGCTGCTTGGCCTCCAGCAGGAAACACATATCTGTCCAGCCAAATTGGCCAGCAGGTAACATCTGTCTGACAGATTTATGTTATCATAGCATAAACCAGACTAAGGCGTTTACAGCAAGGGCTTGGATGCAGAGGTCCAGTGGTTCATGGGCACTGATCCCAGCCCTCCCTTCTCTCCGCACTCCATCATGAGAGAAGTACAAAGGAGTAAATACACAGACTGTGGGAAATAGGCAAGCAATGGCAACAGATGAGAACCATCAGCCTTGAAACACGTGACTTTGGACGCTAACGTCAAAAAAATGAAATTCAGTCACGTGATGAAAACTGAAGACAGGATCCGCCCCAGCGGGAAAAGCTAGGTCGGCTTGTGGGCTTGTGCGTGCAGGCTGTGTGCAGACACGCAAAGAAGATGCTGGCTGGACGCAGAAGCCAGAGGCAGGAAGTCAAGTATGAAATGTGCTTCCAGCCCAGCCAGATGACTCCACCGGTGACAGCGCCTGCCGTGAAAGCCTGGTGACCTGAGTTTGATCCCCAGAATCCATGCTAGAAAGAGACACCTGACTTCCGGAAGCTGTCCTCCAACTTCTACCAGGGCATTCCCCGGCCCTCACGCTTTCATGAACACAGCATGTGGATAGACGCACAACAATAATAAGTACAAATTTAAAAGCAAATAAATACACAATAAAATGTGCTTCCAAAGATGCTAAGTCTTCAACCCCTAGACGCTTCCTCCATAGAGAGAGAGGACGCCTTTACTGTCCAGGACTGTAACCCAGAGAGGGTCTGCTCATGGGGTGTCCAGCACAGCTGAGGCTGCGGCAATGCTGTGTGCTGAACCAGGGAGAGCAAGTGAGGACCCCATCACCATCACACCCCACATTCCACAGCTCAGTTCCCAGGATCTTGGCAGCCAGGTTGGTGCTCTAAAGGGGGGAAGCTTTCTAATCCAAGTCAGGAGCCACAGGAGCCCCTGGTGAAGCTGACTTCCAGACTCCTACCCCAGCACGGGCGTTCCCCCGGCGATAAGCAGTCTCTCTCGCACGGAGCATCCAAGGGTGTGTGAACTGCTCGCTAGTGCTTACGGTGCGTCCGAAGAACGTGAACGAGATTAGACACCAAACCAAAGGAATTTAGGGGAAACAGACACAGTGCAAACTGCAAAGGAACCCGGGGACAGTGACCATAATATAGAGAACAAAGAATGTGAGCCCATTAACTAAGACTCCACACATAAAAAATGAATATGGAGAGAACAAGGAAGACCTTTTGATAATCAGCTATTTCAAAACTAGGAATTTTCTATTGAATGCTTCAACTATGAAGCTGAAGAATTCTAGAAAGTTGAACAAAAAGACAAATGGGAAAATAGGAGGAGGGATAACATGTTAGGGTTATTTAGGAGACCCACCACCTCACTAATACAGTTTTAAAAAGAGCAAACCAAAAAATATTTTTGAGGCAGGGTCTCATGTAGCCCAAGCATCGAACTCGCTGTGTTACTGAGGGTCACCTTGATCTCCCAATCCCCTTGCCTCCTCCCCTGAAGGTCTGAGAATTTCAGGCATACACTACCACACTGAATTGTAGCATATACCGGGTGTGGTGGCGCACGCCTTTAATCCCAACATTCGGGAGGCAGAGGCAGGCGGATCTCTGAGTTCCTGGCCAGCCTGGTCTACAGAGCTAGTTCCAGGACAGCCAGGGCAACACAGAGAAACCCTGTCTCAAGAAAACAGCAACTATTAAAGAATGAAATTTTCAAAGAAACTTGGTCAGAGCTGAGGACATAAGTTAGATATCTCCAGAAGCTTCGCAAAGAGGGAAAAAAAAAAAAGATCATCAGAATCAAATGTGACCTTTGACATTCAGCAGCAACTCTGAACCCAAAAACAGCAGAGCAGACCTGTCCAAACGTGTGTGCTCCCAAGTCCCTGACCTAGAGTTCTATACCCATTCCCACCATCGATCAATTAAAGGTCACAAAATCCCCAAAGATTTCCCCGGGCACATCCCTTCCAGGAAGGATGTTTCCACTGAATGTCATGAGTAAGCCAGGGTGGGAAAGGGGTTTCCGAAAATGAGCAGCCTGTAGAAAGAAGATGGGGGAGTGCCTGGGAAGGTAACAGTGTTGCAAGTGTTAAAACAAGAAGTCAGCGGAAGGCTGAGTGGGAGACCAGTGACCTGCAAGAGGCTGTCTCTGGGCAAAGACAGGGCCGAGCCAGGAACAGATGTGCTTAGACACGTTGAGATTTACACTCTGGCTCCGTGATGAATGAAGCCCAAGGGAAACAGAGCAAATAAAAAAATGTCATACAAGTATGAACACCAGGAAAACCCTACAGTTGTACAGAAGAGGAAATAGAGCTGGATGGTGCTACTTGGATCAGTTGGGAATATTCTTCACAGTACATTTATTTTATTTATGTACTAATGATATGATCGCTAAATATTAACTAAAAAAGAAACAGTGCAATTGAGGAAGAGTGGGGAGATGAGGGCATGGAGCGGGGAGGTTAGGCTGAACAAGAAAAAAAAAACTGAATCTGCTGCACGGGACATCAGTAGGCAGTATACAAAGCTGAGAAATTAAGAGGGCCTGAATGGGTGGCTCAATGGAAGAGCACTTGCCTGGTATCCCTAAGGCCTCAAGTTCAATCCTCAACACCAGAGAAGAAAATGGACAGGATGCCATAGGAAAAAAAGCAAGTCTTAAGAACCAACCGTTTTAAATCAGGGAGGAATGTTCCAGAAGAAACAGCCAAACTAGCATCCCTAGGGAGGGAAGATTAAGGACAGGTGAAGCAAACGGCTGTTTTCTTTAAGCCTGCCAGCACTATTTAGTTCTTTAATTATTATTTTTATTAAAAACTAATTTAAAATGAAATACGTAAGTGAGTTGAAGACATGGCTCGGTGGTTATAAGTATTTGCTGCTCTTGCAGAGGACCCAGGTTTGACTCCCCAAACTCACATCCAGCAGCCCACAACAGCCTGCAACCCCGGCTCCCGGGAGCCAACCCTCTTTTATTCTCCAGTAGGCATCTACATACATGTGGCAGACATGCGTAGACATATGCATAAATTAAAAATAGAAATCTAAAATAAAATGCATGATTTTTATTTTAGCACCACAGTTACTTAATTATTAGTCTTCTCAGCCAGGCATGGTGGCACACTCCGAAGGCAGAGGCAGGAGGATCACCACATCTGAGGCCAGCCTGGTTTACAGAACAAATTCTACACCAACGTGGACTATATAGAGAAACCCTGTCTCAAAACAAACAGGAAGCGTGGACCGTCTGCTTCGCTGTGACACCGACAGGTCTGTCCTCGTCGGCAGTTCACAGTTCTTCCAGGCTGTATTTTGACTGACATAACGACCGCATTGACATGTCATGCTTTAAGCTTCAAGTGGGCTGAAGAGTTTATAAAGGGGCCACTGTGTACCAATCTGTGCACAACCCTAAAACCCACCTTTAAAGATCATTTTGTGGAATGTAGAAGCGGCTTAGCAGTTAAGAGCACTTGTTGCTCTTGCAGAGGACCCAGGTTCGGTTCCCAGCACCCTCATGGCAGTTCACAATTGCCTGTAACTCCAGTTCCAGGAGATCCTACGCACTTTCTGGCCTCCTCTGGGCATACACTTGATAGGCGTATATGCAGGCAAACACTCATACACATAAATAAACATAAATACATATTTGAAATACAAGCAAACAAGCATTTGGGAAGCCAAGAGCACATGCCTGGGCTCTCAGCACTGGGCAAGATGGGGAGTTTACACCCTTAGTCGAGGAGGAGCTTGAGGCTGCATAGTTTGAGGCTAACCTGGGCACGAGACCCCATCTCAGAGAAGGCAGTGGGTGGAGAGAGTGGGGAGCAAGGGAGACGACTCAGCAGATAAAGTGCTAGCTGGGCCTTCATGAGGACCTGAGTTCAAGCCCCAGAACCCACACAAAAAGGCAGACATGCCGGGCGGTGGTGGCACACACCTTTAATCCCAGCACTCAGGAGGCAGAGGCAGGATCGAACTCTGTGAGTTCGAGGCCAGCCTGATCTCCAAAGCGAGTTCCAGGAAAGGCGCAAAGCTACACAGAAAAACCCTGTCTCGGAAAAAAACAACAACAACAACAACAACAAAAAAAAAAGGCAGACATAGTGTCCCACCATTTGTTTTTTAATTTTAATGTTGTTTACATTTATTTGGGGGGTGTGCATGTACACACCTGAGTGTGAAGGTCAGTTGATACTTTGCTGGGGTTTGTTCCTTCACTGTGGGTCCCAAGGGTGGAACTCAGGTCATCAGCCTTGGCTGTAAGCACATTTACCCACTGACCTTCTCTCTAGTCCTGTGGTGTAGACTTGTGACCCAGTGCTAAGAAGGTCCAGATAGGCAGATCCTTGGATTGCAGGTCAGCCAGCCAAGCCACTGACAGACCCTGAGCCAGAAAAAAAAAGGTTTGGATGGCACCTAAGAAACAATGTCCTACCCTGCCACCACAGGTTGACCTCTGGATTCCACATGTAGGAACACAGACACACACACACACACCCCTAATAAAGACAGTTTGTATTGCTTGTGGAATCGGAAGGATGGCCTTTACCACCACCTCACTGTCTTCTCATTCCATCCCGCAGGTTTTGCTAGACAAACACAAGGAAGGGACGAGGTCTTTGCAATGGCCACACTGTTCCCAGTCACTGACGGCTTTGTTGGGAGCCAGGCACCCCATGCAGCCCAGACTTTATTCAGGGACGACGGCACAAAATTGGCTTTGCATGACGTTGGAGGAGTTTCTAGAGAATGCCAGGCTGAACTGAACTATTGTTCTTAGAGCCCTGAGGTTGCTGGTGTGGCTGTTAAGCATTATACCTACCTTGACTTAAAGGTATTCTCCATCTTCCCCAGACTCCTATTAAAGATATCACTTGGTTACCCAGCACGCCTAGCACCACAATGTCAGTTCTCAAAACTGTGGTTAGGGGCAGAGATTAGTATTATTTTCTGCTTCCTGGGAAAATAATCAGATCCTCTTCCTAAAGGCAGGTTGTGCTGACTGGGAGGGAGGCAGAGCTGACGGCCATTGTGCATTGGGGAGGGATGGCAGGCTGCTGTCCCTGGTGACTGTGGGAATGGGCGGTGACTCAGGGACTCTACTCAGCCTCATCTTTTGCAGGACTGTTTCTAGTCTGAAAGCAGGTATTGAGTGACGCTTGGCTTGGGTTAAAAGGGCCTTTGAAAGTCCCCTCGCCTGTCATGTGATAACCTAGCTTCTGGGGCCTCGGTAGCTTCCTCCAGCCAAGGCCTGCAGAGCCCAGCACTGTGACTTGGGAGGGAAGGCAGGGCAGGCACGCCTCTGTCCCAAATGGTTTGTTCTGCTGCGGTAAGACCTGCCCAGAAATCTGATGCCTAAACCAGACTTCAGCACCTGGAGGGCCAAACCTGGAGGCCCCATTCGCAGTGGTCTGTGAGTCATTTCTCTCCGGAGCAGATGGGAAGCAGGTGTCCCCTCTGCAGCTTTCTCTTAAGTGGTAGAGTAAGTTCTAAGGCTTATAAATTTCAGGGGGAAAGTAAACATCCTTCCTTTAGAAAAAAAAAATTTTTTAAAAAACAAGGAGATGGGGGAAAATGTGTCAGAATTTCCTGGCCTGCTCCACTCTTCAGTATCAGATCAAAATGACAAAATGGATTTCCATCAGTGAAAGCCCTGGTCTGTCCTCCAACACCACGGCCCTACCCCCTGGATCTCCTGTAGCCTAGGCTGGCTTCAGAGTCAGTGTCTAGGGCAGAAGGACATTGAAGTTTTGACCCTCCTGCCTCTACCTCCTTTTGAGTGCTGGAATTATAGACAGCACCACCACTCGGGACTCATACATGGCAGGGGATCGAACCCAAGGCCTTGGGCATGCTAGGCAAGTACTCTACCGAGTGAGCCACGGTCAAACATACAGCACCTTGGGGTAGGCAGCCAGGCTGCAGCTCTGCCTCAGTCTCCCTGCCACGCTCCCTTCTCCTCCTGGATGATTTAAGGGAGAGCAAAACTGCAGCAGTTGCCAGCTCTTGAGACCTTGCTGGCCATGGGCCTCCTTCTCCCTGGGATCGCAGGCCATTGTCCAAACCTGAATTCGTAGTGACTTAGCAGGCCGAGCCAGCAGTAGAGGAATGTTTTCTAAAGAAAGCAAGCTTCCCTTGGAGCCTGTGAAGTTGCTTCTGGGAAAGTCGGCCTCCTTTTCTAGAATGGCATCCCTGAGAACTCAGGGTCACAGTCGGAAGGTCACCAGCCCGGTGACATCAGCTCTCCTCTCTTCTAGCTTTCAGGTTTGGGGGAGAGGGAGGATCATTCCCATTCCGTCCTTTCTGTCTCTCTGTGAAGCTGACTGGCACACATTCCTGGGACCTGTGTCATTACAAGTCCAGTAAATGATTCACACTGAAGTGACCTCTAGGGAACACAGAAGAAATCAGCTGGTTTCGGGGAGCCCAAAACTGTCCAGAAGCCAGACGGCCCAACGCTGCTGTGTCTTCCTTTCAAACCTAAGCTCCTCATTACCCTTGCTGGCCCTGGTCCTGATCATGTGACTTGATGATTGCTCTAATCACCAGGTTAATCACACATGTCCCTCTGCCACGTAAGCGGTGAACACGGTGAAGGACTCAGTCTATTGCAAATGAAAATAATATCAACAGGCACCTGGAAGGGTGGGTCAAAGGACCAAGATCGATAAGAAAGAAATGTGTGTATTTTGGCGCATAGGTATTTTTTTCTGTTTTGCATTTGTTTACACATGAGTGCCACCAAAAAATGTAAATTAGCCCAGGATGTAAGATAACCTTGGCTACCAAAGAGGATAAAAAATCTTGCCCCGTGCCTACTGAGTCACCAGTGCCAATGAGGATCTGAACCAGAGAGAAGGTTCTTGTTGCTTTTTAAATAGTGAGTTTTGAATGTTCTTCTTCCCTCTTCCCAGGAATCAAAATGACCCTCCTGCCCATCCAATCCTTTCGTCTCTCTCCATACTTTTCTGCTACCATCAAGGAACTGCGGTGAAAGGGTCATTTTTAATCACTGTGACAAGAATCCCAAGAGTCGTTCTCATGCACGCGTATAATACTCTGAAAGAGCCGGTAAGACAACCCCCAAGAGCTGACGGGTTGAGGACCGGCCCCCATGCAAGGACTCTGCAGACCCCCCAGCTCCCAAGCTCTGCTCTGTGTCTGGCTGAGGGAGGAGAGGCTCTGTGTGAGCTGGAGTCCTTCTAATTAAAATGCGGAGCCAAGGGTTGGAGTCTGAGGGTGGAGTTTCAGTTAGTGTTTGTGCCTCTGTCTCAGGTTTGTTTGTAGATACATTATAAAGTAGGAATAATAGTTGTTTTGTTTGGATGCCAGCATACTGCCTGCCCGCTGTGTTTCTAGAGGGTGCCATGGGAAGTGATTGGTGTGGGCCAGGAGGAAAAGTCAGAACGCGCGCGTGTGCGTGTGCATGTGTGTGTGTGTGTGTGTGTGTGTGTGTGTGTGTGTGTGGTCTGTCTGTCTGTCTGTCTATGTGTGTGCACAGGCACGCGTGTGTGTGCATGTGTACATGCTCACCCGCACTTAAGAGAGAGAGAAATGGATAAGCTGACCCACATCTCAGCTCCAAGGACAGAAAACTGTAGGGCTTTTGTGCCGAGAGGCTTCTCCTCCTCGGGTTTTATTTCCATGCGCATTTAGTTATGAAAGCCAGTGGAAACCAGAACACCAGGAAAACAGCTGTTCTCATGGTGTCTCTAAGCTGCCACACAAGGGAGGCTTGGACTTTCCCCAACTTTCCTGTTCTCATACAATGCTGATCCTTCTCCGCCTCCGTTTCCACCTTGGGGGTTTGTGACTTGCTCTGAGTTTCACAAACCTACCTGATTCCAGCCCTTTGGGTCTGGTTACACGGCCTTAGTAAATCGGGAAGTTTCGTGCCCTGGTTCACGTTGTTCACAATTAATTGTGTTTGCTTTTAAAAACAGAACTCTAAATTGTCATTATTTTAAAATCCACAATCAAGGTTTCAGCTTGGCATACCAATTAGGAACAACAGAGTTGAACTGCACCTGGGATTATCTGGCTTTCTTATCTTGCCGCATTGAGCAGTTGACTATGAAATGTTTTCCTGTGGCTCCTTGCCTGGCTGCATTTTGGACACTTAAAACAGGTGGTTGTACCTGGCCCAGGGCAAATCTAAGCTACTGCAGTATAAAAGGTTTCTCCCTCCCTCCCTCCCTTTCTTCCTCCCTCCCTCCCTCCCTCCCTAACATTTATTTGTTTGTTTGTTGTATATGTGTGAGCCTGCATGAGTATGTACCAGAAGAGGGCATCAGATTCTGTGGAACTGAAGTTACAGGTAGTTGTGAGCTGCCATGTGGGTGCTGGGAATCGAACCTGGGTCCTCTTTAAGAGCAGCCAGTGTTTTTAACCACTGAGCTATCACTCCATCCCCAGTGCAGGGTTTCCTGAAGTACAAAATCACTCATGATTTTAAATATACTTAGGTCAGGTGAGTATTTTGTACCTATGCAGCACACATCTGAATATGTTTTATTAATATGTATTTTACAGACACGTATATGTACTAATATATTGGATATATATATATATATGTAATTTATTTAACATGTGAATTAGTTATTGATAATCACAAATCAATGAGCAGCTGAGAGCTTGGCTGTCCCCTACTGAGCAAGGCATTTTAAGCCCTTTGGGAAAATAGCTTCCATAAACCCAAAGAGAACTTGGTGGAAGACAGAGGTCTCTCTGACCCCATCACTCCTCAGATTCCACGTGCCAGGTAACCAAACTCCCATTTAGTGATGCCACCAAGGTAAAATATGACCTCTCGTAGGTCTTCTGCCGCACCTTACAGCTCGGTCCTGTATCTACAGCGTCAGTCCACACCTCTCATAGCCGTGCGTGATCTCTCCTACATTAAACAGTCTCATTCCCAGCAGCCACCAAGCTAAAACCTGTCCAGCTCAAGTTTTATCCAGTTGAATTAGCATTTGGATGAGAAAATGTCTCTATAAGGCCGAGTTGTTCAGGGGTCCATGAAATAGGCTAGTTGAGATTTGTTAGCTGGTTTGGAGTTTTTGTTTTGTTATCTCTGGGTGGTAGGTGGGAGACGGCAGCTACCCCTTGCCCTGTTAGTTCATTCAGTTTTCATTTTTAAATTCTTAAAAATGTTCTTTCTATTTACTTATTTATGATTTGGGGAAAGCAGCTGTGGGTCCCAGGAACCCACCGCAGGTTGTCAGGCCTGGTGTGCGCATTTTTACTCCCAGCACTGGGCTCTCCAGCCTGGGATGTTTTCACAATAGGTGGTAGGTAGAACTTGGCCACCCACCCTTCCCCAGCCAGTTCATTCTCAAGTTACACACTCAAGTTAGATTTCAGAAGACCCACTGAATCTTTGAAATTTAGTCTGAAAACCTCACGATAGGATCTATTACCCTCCACGTCAAAGTTAATTAGTTATGTGGGCACGTGACTAGTCTCTACACTATATGGTTTGGATTTCTAGTCAGTGACAAAAACCTCACAAACTTCAAATTCAAAGGTCAAGGTGTTCAAGGCATGGTGCCATACGCCTATTGTCTCAGTGCTGGGGAGGTTGAAGCAGGGGAATTGGGAGCTTGGGGCTCGTCTGGGCTACGCAGCAACACCTTGTCTCAAAAATAAAAATAAAGTAATCCAGCCAGGGCAGTGTGACCCATACCTGTAATACACACATTTGGGAAGCAGAAGCAGGAGAACCAGGAGGAGGTCAAGACTGGCCTCAGCTACATCATAAGCTTAAGGCCAGTATGGACTACGAAAGACCCTGTCTTTAAAAAACCAACACACACACAAATTGTGCATGCCATTTGACACACTTAAACTAAAAGGTCAGCTTTTCCTTAGATGCTGAATACCGGTTAACCCCATTTCTCTTTCTGCTGAGGTTAACTGAACCATGACAGTGAAGGCCATGAGTGAACGCTAATTCATCCGCAGTGGTAGCAATTAGTTGAGTTGCTGGTATAGGAAGCGAGAATCACTCCAGGGTTTCCCCAAGCACATAGATCTGCCAATGGAAACTATTCTCCCATCAGAGACAAGCTGCTTACCTTCTCTCTGTATCTCCCACTCTGTCTTTGTGGCCTGAACCTCCCTACCTGATCCCAGCAGCACGGTACGTGGTCAAGAGGTGCGTTCAGATGCAGCTGCTGTGGGCTCTGGCGTCTCACCAGATACCTGTACCATCTCAACCAGGTATGTGCCTTTCCTGTACCCCAGGAGTCTGAGGGTGGCTTCTGTCACGTAGATCAGCAAATTCTTCAGGGCGGGTTGTGTGATTCCTTCAGTTTTCCAACCATGTAATGTGTCAAGTCCACTGAACTCCACCATCAAATCCAGGAAAGCAGCCACAGACAAAATGTGAAGAAACGCACATGGCTGTGTTTCAATAAAACTTTACTGGTGGACTCTGAAATTCAAATTTCGTGTGATTTCACATGCCAAGAAATATTTTTTTCTTTTGCCTCTCCACTCATTTTAATCATTCTTAGCTCCACCCTGAGGAAGGCAGGGCAGGAGTCCGTCAGATTGATCACACCCCCTCAGCAGGGCTATGGTTTGTAGACCCCTTACATGGAAACTGTATTACTACTATTACAACTGCTCTTCAAATTCTGCAGAAATGAGTTTCTTTCTTTCTTTTTTTTCTAAAATAAAAAGTGGTACGCGTCTGTTCACGTTTGAGTATGATGACTAGCTGTCAGTGAGAGCAAATGTCAATGCCGTGACAGGCTGCCATAACCGGCATAGTTCTCCTACAGCAGGAGAGTTTTCTCCCACTTTTTTTTCTACATTTCCTCAGCCCTTTCTTTTCAAACTACAAATATTCTCTTTAAAAATCTTTCAAATTGACAGAGGCTTAAATCAATGTTTTCTCCTTCTGTAGCTCGTTTAGGAAAGTTTAATAGCCCTTAGTCACATTTATACAAAGCAGTGTTTTTGTAAGGCAGCGGGCTGTTTTAGAATTGAAGTGTGTGCAGAGATCTCACTTAGAAAAGTCGTTCTTCTTATGGCCCATCTTTCTAGCAGACGCTCTAGAGAAGTGGAGGGGTTCATTAGGCCGCCCATGTTTGATGTCTCCTAAGTGGTATTTGAAATACCTTTCATTATTCAGGGAAAGTGTAGCGTTCTTTTTTTTTTTTTTTTCCTAAGCCCTGCTCTATTTTAAAGTCGGAATCTGGGTGTACATTTTAGAACATATTTAGATCTAAACACCACAAGCCACCATATATAAAACACAACAAGGCAATGTGGCATTTTTCAGAAAGGTGGGGCGTATATCAAGCCAAGCCACGCCTTGTGGATACACTCCTAGACTAACATGCCATGCTTCTCAGAGCTGTGTGTATGAGTCTTCACACCAGCTGCTGATATGAAAATTTTGAGATGTATTGGTACATTGATACACGGTGAGATATAGTTAGACCGGAGAGGCAAAGGCCATGGGGCCACTGACACAAACACACTAGCTAGATGGTCCTCCAAGGCTCCCAGCTGGAGCCAGCGCGTCTCTCTGTTTCGTGGGATTCGGGTTCTTTCTGTGTCCTTCCCTGTTTTACTCTTGGTATCAAATTACCCCCATGGGAACCTAGGACACCACCATATCAGGAGGGGAGAAAAGTCAGTGGGGAAGAGGCAGGATGAGGTCCATTCACCCCGCACCCCCCTGTCTTCCGTGCAGATAGCTTCACAGATAGCTTCACTTGTGAGACATCAGATAGCTCCACTATCTGTGACTTGGGTTTGGAGTCTACCACTGGGGGGTGGGATGTCAGGACTCTGCCAGTCAGCACATTTGGAAACCACTGCCTGGTTTGGTACATTTGGTTTTTTTTTCCTACTCTGTTAGCCTCAGGGACATAGCCTCTGCCTTCTAAAATCTCACCTGCTAATATTAACTAAGAGCTTTTCTCTTGGGAACTGAGAGTAGTGCCGAGGCCGGGTGCAGTGTTCATATCAACCACACTGTGATTACCTTTACACCGGTGGTGAGTCCTGGGAACAGATGTGCAGGGGGAGCGACTGTCCTGGGCAATAAGAGGAAGCTGGCCTTGCTCCAGCTCCGAGAGAGTCAGTGGGACAAGCAGGGGTGGGTCTCTGGGATTCTGGCCTTGGGGTCTGTGCTGCAAGCCATGGCCTCCGCTGGCTGTCAAGGCCTCATTGCACTAGGGAAGGACTCGGCTTTCCTACAAATGGTGCCAAAGAAACGAAGAAAAAGGAAGCTCCACTCGAAAAGACAACTCCACCATAAATTAAAAAAATAATAATTCAGAGAATCCCTGTCTCAAAAAACCAAAATAGTGATGATGATGGTAGTGGTGGTGGTGATTCAAAATGGGGCAGAGACCCAAAATAAATCCAAACTGTAAACCTTCCAGGAGAGAAGCTCTTAGTAACCGTGAGTTTGAGCAGAGGAGTTCTTAAACACGACACAAAAATCACGAACTATCAAAAAGAAGAATAGGCACAGAGGAGGCCGAGCTGCTAGGGGGCTTAACCTAGCGTGCATGTCCCATGCCCAGCAGCGCATACACCAGGTGTGGTGTACACCTGAAATCCCAGCACTGGGGAGACGGATGCAGGAGTTCAGGGCTCGCCTCGGCTGCATAGAAAGTTCAAGGCTAGTCTGAGTTATGCAAGAGTGAGGAGAGAGGAGGGAGGAGGCCGGAAGGGGGGAGGATAATGATGGTAAAATGGTAGTCAGCACAGCTGTCCATCTCATCTGTCAAGAAACAAAGGAAAAGGAGTTCAAAGCGAAGAACTGAATTTGGATTAGACTGGCAAACAGCCTCCCATTGGACTAGGTTTCTGCGGGGGTGGGGAAAGTTGGGGCATCTCTATGCCTGGAAATCAGAAACAAAAAGGCCAAGGCCTGTTCTCTTTACTCCGTTTGATGGTAAGGAGGCTAGGGAAGCTGGAAGACGACCAAATGTGCTTGTCCTGCTCAGAACCCAGAGTACCTCCCTGCAGCTCGGAGGCGGCTGTGGTTCATCACTGCTTCCTAAAAGCCTCATCCATCTTCACTAAGACCCAGGACAGAGGCAGGGAGAGGTTTCTGCCTTTTGTAGTGGATACCCAGCCTAAGGCTGCATGGTACTTCACTTGCAGAGTGGGGTAATACAACACCAAACCTCGTCATTTCTCATTTCCTTCTCTCTGCTTCGTAAATACTGAATGTGTGTACAGCTGAAAAACAATCGTGTCACCTCACACATTCATGAACACAAAAGTCATTTGTTTATGCTGTGTGCAACCATGTGAGCCTGGGATTCAGAGGCAAAGGGAACCAAGGGAATTTGAGATGTGTATGCAGAAGTAAGAAACACACGTGTGCGACATGTATACAACAGTAAGAAATTCAGAAAATGCAGACAACTCAGAAAAGGACAGCCTTGATAACTGAGTGCCCATGGATATCACCAGCTGATAGAACAGGGACAATGCAGGCTGCAGGCTGTTGATGCCAGCCGCCAATCAATCCTGCAAGGTGAAGTAGTATCTCCAGCTTCCAGGCCAGGAGACGGAGGCTTGGAGGAGGCTCATGGTCAGTGTCAGAACCAGGACCCCCACAAACTCAGTCCATTTGCCCCCCACAACCAAGCCCTACCAGCCACAAACTCAGAACTACCACTAGGCCTGTCCCCAGCAGTTTTCAGATCCAGACAGGCTAGCTTACTTGACAGGGGAAGACTTGCTGATGGCAGACTTGGAAAGGACGAGAAGTGCATAGAGGCCTCCAGAAGCCATGACTATGACTCCTGTGGTTTCAGGCCAGAGAAGCCTTGGCTGGGTGGTCTGACTCCCCTCCTCTCCTTAGGCAAGTCAGTGGTCCCGACTTCTGGTCCTGGAGGCTGGTTTGTGTCAGTCTGGCTGGCAAGGAAGTCTGGAGCCTCCTGCTCCCTACCAACACCTTTGAGGGACCCAACTGAAGTCTTTCTTCCCAAGGGACCCTGATGCTAACCAACCAGAAAGCCTACCTTCTGTGTTTCTCACTGTCCTCACCCAGTTCCTCATGATAACGCCACCCCACCCATGTGCAGGGCATCTGCCCCAGCTCTGATGGTGACTTTAGATCAGCACCTTTCGAAGTACAAAATCCACTGGTGGGCCTGCAGCACGCTAACAGACGCTTCTGCACTGATCTGAAGACATGCAGAATTTTTCTTTTCCAAACCTTAGAGGGAAATCACAAAATCCTATAGGTTTTTATTCTTGCACACGAGGACGGGCTTTTGACCAATCAGTAAAGTAGAACCTCCGGTTCTTAAAATGTGTTTTTTATGAACCCCAATAATTGTGTTACTCTGTTTCCTTAGACTTCATCTTCTTGAGTCTATTGTGACAGCTAACTATCTGGATGGTACCTGGCAACTGTCTGGCCACACCCACTCCAACAAAGCCACACCCCCTGATAGTGCCACTCCCTCTGGGATTATGGGTGCCAATTACATTCAGACTATCACTAGACCCTAGGTTGGCAGAGAGTTGGGATGGTGCAAATTGGGAAAAACACAACCAATGTTGTTCAGTCACGGTTGTTCATTTAACGAACACACTTTGTCGAGTATTTGGTTCTAACTTACTTTTTTTATTTTTATTTGTTGTCATTTTAAGCTTTGGCTTCCTTTTCCATTTTTTTTTTCCTTCCAGCAGAAGTGGAAATAGGTGTAGAAAGTGAGCTATGGGGTGATACCAATGCCATTTGAAAACCACCAGTCTCCTGGGAGAATCTCCCAGAAAAGGTCAGCTCCTCTGTTGGGTGTCACAGCCCTTGGCCTCTGTGCCTTCCTTCTTTGTGTAACTCAAGCTGGCCACTCAACCCCGGGAGCTTTACAGGTTGAAAGAGTTGGGTTAAATAACCCCCACATCCATAGAGGGCCTTCTGACCCTTGTTGGACTAGCCAGCTCAGAGCAGAGGCTTGTAGATGCCAGCCGGCTCCATCATGTGCCTGACAAGTAAGTACGCTTTTGCTCAGAAAGACAGAGAGCTGCCCCGGTTTCCATGAGAATGCCAGGAAGGTTCAGACAGTTTCATTCATTTGAGTGCAGAAAAAAAAGCTTGCTGCTTCCTGGAGATCGGCTCATCTCCTATCCCCCACCACCACCCACCTGCCTGCCAGTCGTTTTTATTAGTGAACATAAAGTCCATCTGTCTTCCAAGGTTTTGTAGTCAACCTGACTTGTAAAATCTAAAA